CCTCGGCCCGGCCCGCGGGGGTGGCGGGGTGCGGGGAGGGCGCCGCTCACGGTGCCCGAGGAGCGGGGAAAGCCCCGCAGCGCCCCTGGGTCTCGCTGGCGAGAGCACGAGGGCAGCCTCGGACAACGGGGTTCTTGGAAAGCTTTGGATGCGCAAGCGACGCGATGAGAGGGGCCGGGGCAGGATGGCAGGAGCTACAGCTGTCCCTGTACCGGCTGAAGGAGCCTCTGAGCTCGCCTGTAACGTCCACGGATGAAACAAGGGGCTTAGATTTTGGGGTCTTCGTGCCGCAGAGATACAGCTGTACCTGTGCCCATACCTGTGCTAGTAGGAGCCTCCCATGTCATTTTAGTTTCTAAGTCATGGATGAGTTGCTTTGCCAGAAGCAGAACTGAAACAAGCCGTTTTCTGCGATGTTTCCAGCAAGTTGTTGTTATTGACATAGTGATGTGAGTGCATGTTTTGCTGTGATTTCAGAATTACCATAATTAACTCACTCTTCTCAGGCTCCCCTTTTAAGCATTTTAGGACACTATCAGAATAGTCGACTTACAGTTATTGTCCTTGTGAATGTTAAAAACTTAAATGATTTAACACTGTTTTCCGTTGGAAGGTACCACCAGAGGAGGAGGATGGGGTGCAAGTAACCAGAGATACACGAACGTTATCCAACCCTCTGCATTTAAGTCCAATACATGGGGTGGCAGCAAAGATCTTGGAAGAGGACTTTTTGGATCATCTGATTTTGGATCAGTGGGCAGTGGCAGTAGAAATGCAGACTTTTCACAGAACAGATTCTCTGCGTTAATGACCGGCCAAAATATTGATGATGGCTATAAAGACGAAGAGGAGAAACTTCTGTAAGTTACAGTGCTGTCACAGGAACTGGCTAATGAAAAGCGTTTAGAATGGGCGCTTGAAAAGCTTATTGGCTTTCTAGAGGTAATGTAGAGAAGGTGATCGTGAAGACCGACATGTAGGGGAGACTGGAGCATGAAGGGAAAAACATTTAAAAACACCTGCCTCAGTTAAGCCTCTGAGTTAAGAGGGTGTGAGAAGAAAGAGGTCCTTGTTTGGAACCAGAAAAGCTGGGCTGGGTGGACAGACAGCTGTGATGATAGTAGTAAGGCATCATGGTGTTAAAGTTGTAGAAGAATAGAAGGAGAAATTAGGAGTTCAGTTTTGAAATTACAGGAAAATTAAACCAGCATTTCAACCATTTAAAATAAGTTCTTGGGGAAAAAATAAACTATTTGGCTTAGTTTTCCTGACCGTTCAGGTAACATTATTTTGTCAATAACAGCAGTATCAGAACCTGTTTTCATGCCTGTGTATGTCAGAGTTATCTTAAGGTGACCAGCAAACTTAGGGCTATTTGCAAGGCAAGTGATGAGAAGCAAACAGGTGTATGGAAGCTAGGGAGATGGGCAGCCTTAGCCCCTTCCTTTTTTGTTTTTATTTTTTTAAGAGTACGTTGATAAAGTTCTTAACTGAATAGTTATTCAGCTTTTCAAATGTGAATGTATATCATGTTAACAAATATCTGAAATAGTATTAAAGTAATTAAAATAATAATTAAAATATTATTAAAATGTTTTAATAAAAGCAATTGTATAAAATATTTATCTTTCTCCATTATAGTTTTTCCTTTTTAACTGTTTACATTTGATTTTACTTCTGTTGATGTAGCTTCTGTTTTTCTGCTTGTGTTATGTCTGGATTTTTTATGTCCTTGCTTCTTTTCCAGAACCTTATGTGGAACACTTTTCTTTTTCTTTTCTACACATATTCATACATGTTGGCAACATTTTCTAGTACTGAGAAAATTTCAAAACTGTATTGTGATCTGCACCTTCAGGGAAAATCATTGACAGCATATGTCATTCAGGCATTTAAATATACTGTTTACTGATAATTTTTTAAGATCCGATTTAATTTACTTTGTAGTCAGATGATAAAGTAAAATATTTAGAAGGGACATTTATGTATCTTGCAGACTAAATGAATTTTTCACAAAGAAACAAGTATTTACATTGTTCATCCTGAATATTATTGCACTTCAATAACTTTCATGGTTTCAGGTATTTAAATCTGACTTTGGATTCACACTAAGCAATTGCTTTTTGCATGTCCTTTTGACCATATAATTTCTATCACTTTTTTTTTTCTGGTTTCTAGTGAAGGCATAGTGAGAGACATGGAAATTTGGGAATCTTCAGGACAGTGGATGTTTTCATGTTACTCACCTATGAAGGAAAAGCCTAATATCTCAGGTAAAAATGCCTATAATGTATAGTCTAATGCCTATAATGTATAGCCTAATGAGGCTACGTGGAACTGATTGCAAGCTGAGCACTTGCCTTATGATGTGACAGAAAGGGGTACTGGATTATGAGAAATTCATTTTGGGCACTTGCATGTTTGGAATTCTCAGTTCTTTTTGTGTCTCCATGTATACCTGACACTACAAAAAATGTATTAAGGCTCATTTCTTTGTAACCTTGTAGAGGGCCATTGGAAGTACTTTCCTTTGAGGCTTTTGATTATACATAGTCTCCTTTCAGGTTTTCCAGATTTCTCACCAGAAGAGCTGCATCTGGAGTATTATAACAGCAGAGCAAATAATAATAATCAGAACTATGTAAGTGTTTTTAAAATGCTGCATCTTTTGTATGAACATTTCATTATAGGATTAGTTGATATCTTTTGTATGGCAATTCTGACTCACTTGATTACTTGATTCTGACTTGATTACTAAATGGAAAGAAAGATAGCTTATAGAAATGAAGTTATATATTTTTCTATTTAAATATATATATTTTTGTGCCCTTTTAGTCCTATCAATATCAACAAAATAGCATAGTTTACTGGTATGGCAGGAAAGGAGCTAAGCTATTATACAGGTGCCATGAAATTAAATACACTGTGATAAAACAGTGATAGTGTGACAGGATGCAGTCACTATGCTGAACACTGTTGCTAAAAGCAGCTTTTCTTCAGCATAGATTTCTTGGGGTGAGAAGGAGGGGATGAAAAATAAAATGAAGCATTTTTAGAATCTCTCCCAGGCTTGCCTTCTTTAGGAAGTGTAATTACTAAACTTACAGTAGAGTTATCAAGTTGACTGCTACAGCGCAATTGTTTGGTGACAAAGTCAAAGCAGTTGTGTGTTCTAGCTAATTCGCTGAGCTTCAGACTATGTCTGCTAAATAACACCACACTGGACACCAAGGTCACGCTTCTGCACAGGGCGACAGCTCTGTCACTCACACGCAGTGTTAGAAGAGACACTGTTCCCATTAGGAGGCTTCCTTTGCTCTTTCAAAGGTGCAGCCTTCTCTAGGTATGTTGGCTTGGAGCAAGTTGTAACAGCAAAGTAATTTGTTCTGTGGATTCTGACAAATTTCAAACCTAAAGTTTAGTAATAGTCATCTAGCTGATAATTCCATTTGAAGGAGCTTTTAGTTATTTCTTTGGTCTTGAATTTCACAAGATAGATAGAAAACTGCAATTTATTTTTATCTGTGTTACTACAACTTGCAAGTACAAAGCAATTCGAGCTACACTGCACTCCTCCCTCTCTCCTTTGGTGTCCTGTGTTACAGACAGAATTGCTGCTGTCACTGCTGCTGTTTCATGTGTTTATAATCAGCAGAATTGCTTAGTTTTTTTTTTTTTTTTTTTTGAGAAAGGAAATAAAGTTGGAGAGCACAGAAGCACTACTAAGAAAACAGTCTGAAGCAAGTCAGGAACAAAGCTGAATTACCAGAGTGTATCTTTTCTTCTATCCTAACATGAAAAATTATATAATTTTTTAGATATTTGTTAGAGCTTGAATTCATTTTTTGAAGCAAATATTCAAAATAAATCTCCTTAATTTGGTAAATATTTTACTGTAAAATGTTTTTTTCAGCAGTCACTTTCAACTTGGCAAGCACATTATGCTAACAGCTGCCTTTTTGTATAGGTTTTTTAAATAAATTTGCTGAAAAGAGTGAATAATATACTACCCTTTGCTATTAGAAAGGACTTATGGTGTCAATTAATACTTGAATGCAAATTCATTAAAGTTTTGGTGTATAGATGGTAATTCTAAGTACAACATATCTTACCCAAAGAACATGGTTTTATGAATAAGGTTTCCATAACTGTAAATATATGAAATTCCAGTTTTAAACTATTGAAAAATCAGATATTTATTTACTTTCCACTCTCCTATCTAATTTCAATCAATCACAGTTATCAAGACACAGGTGCTATTTATTGCTGAATATGTTCTGTGCAATAGTCTGTTGAATCGCTTTGGAGGGACTGATTTAAATGATATTTTTCCAAAGCTAAATATTTTGGGGTGATAGTTTAAATTTTTCTCAATTATTAAAAGTGGGTGTTCTGAAAATGTGAGAGAAACTAAAGAAAGTCTTAGGATTTCAACTTGAGTGAGTGCATAGCTGGACAGGCCAGAAACAAAACAAGGACGGGTGAGTTTT